AATTTTATTTTCAGTGTATACAAAATGAAATTTCGTTTTGTATACAGTCTGCTTATACAAAACGACAATAAAGTTTGTCTAAGTCTTAGTATTACAACATGTTCTAAATGAATAGTCTATTTGAGTGTTATTGGAAACCTGCGATAAACTTCACATCAAATAGCCTGATTGCTTTACGTTGCTGTGCTGGGTTCCTCTGTAATAATACACTGTATGACCTAACGTAGCTCTGAGCTATGGCCGACCGAGCTGCCAAAGCCTGGTTACCTTGGTAACACTTCACAGCAAGAGATTTTTAATGGTCCACTCACGATTCATGTGAAAAACCTAAAATTTTAACGGTAAATAAACACCAATGTATTAACAATTGATTTAATATTTATTTCTTCTGTAAATAATTAGTGCATGACAATTCCTGATGAAGTGTTTATTATCACAACTGAATGGAACCAGTTTCCATTACGCATCAGCCATTAATTTACGATAACTGAGACCTCGTCAGGCATTATTCCCAAACTTGCATACAGTATTTTTGGGGTGACAAAGGTTCAGCATTAGAGTGCTGCTGCTGTTGGCTTACCAGTCCAGGCCCCTTCTGAAAATAAATATAATCTAAGTAAACGTAAGCTTCTCAGAATCCTTTTTTCATTTTATTTATTTTTTTTTTCTCAGCTTGTTGACTATTAATCTTTTTTTCTTTGTTTTTTTTTATCATATTTTTATTGTTAAAACAGATGTACAATGCCATTCAAATTGTAGTGTTTTGCAATTGTTACAATTGTTTTGACCATGTACAGTATAACAAGAATCAAACAGCATTTCAACATTTTTATGTTTTCATAAACCCCACGAGTATTAATCTTTTTGTGACCAGCTAGCATTTCCATCTGGCTATCTTATTTATATAGCAGTCAGTGATTTCCTCCTAATCTCACAAGTCAAACTAGCTAACATTGTGCTGTGTAGATGCAGTTATTGTATGTTAGATTTCAAACTGTAAGTATATGGGATTATCAGAATCCGTTTCATTTGCTAAATTTTTGCACAAAGAAAAACACATCCTCTCTTGGTTAAGGGTGTGGGAAATAATCGTTTTGGCGATATATCGTGATATTCGGCTGCCCAATATAATATCGATCTTTCACTTCTTAGTATCGATTTAAAAAAAAAAATGGTTACATAAAACATAGATGGGAAAATGGGCTACCTCTGCACCACCACTCTGGCAGAAAGCGCTGTGGAGCCCTTTAACTGTGCGTGCAGCACCAAATCTGTATTTGAGGCAGTCACAGTGGAAGAAAACCCCAAACAACATGGATAATAATAGCTAATCAATATTTTCTGATGAAAATATACAGCACTTGCTGTTTTATCTCATCATTTGATTTTGATAGCTGGGGAAAATATGGCAATATATAGTGATACTGCAATATCGTCATAATATCGTATTGCGACTTGTATCGAATCGCTTGTATCGAATCGCAACACTCATGTCAATACTCACCTCTACTCTTGGTCCACTGTATTGTATATAGATGCTCAAACCTTAGAGGAAATAGAATAAGATGCATAGAATAAGATGAATAACTATACTGCTGGTTTTTGCAGTTAGGGTTTGGTTTAATCTAATCTCTTCTATCTTTCTTTTCCTCAGATGGTGGACATTCTTTTCCATCATGGGTTATTGCTGTGATTGGTAAGTTTACCCTCATCCCCTAAGCTGAGTTTATACAGTCAACAGAGATTGAAGCCTAATCAAAACTAGCGTGACCTCAAAGAAACAACATGGCTGTAATAACATAGATTATTGAGTTTCATAGACGTAGAGGACAACGAACAAACAAACCAATAGTTTAATAAGCAATACCTTTGTCATTTTTCTTATTTTGCTTGGGGTTATTTTTTTTCTATGATACCATCTCCTAAAATAAAGAACAAATATTCTGATCAGGATGATAATTTAACCCGGAGTCTAACATTTTAACTTCTTAACTCTTCTTTATTTGTTTGCTTAATAATAGAACAGTGTGCATTAATCCATGGATGGATTTAACTATTGTGCAAATTTGTCAAATTAAGCGCAACAGTTTATTTCCACCTGTAGTAACAATAAAAGTAAATAAAACACAATGAAAGCACATTAATACACATATAAATCATTCCATAATAATTAGATATATTGGTGAACATTGAAATGATGAGCAAAGATAAAACTAAAAAGTCTGCACACTCTCTATGTATAACTTTTTGGGTGTTGCCTGTAATAAAATCTATTCTTGTCAGGGAAACAGGTTTGCTGTTTTAGGCAAACACTTTTAAAACTTTACATCCTATTTGAAATGTTGCAGTTGAGTTTCTTCATGATCTGAATTAAATTTTCATTTAATTTTTTTGTTTTGTTTTGTTTTCTGCTACCTTTTGTTATCCAGTCCTATTTATGTTCACAATGAATCTTTTTGAGGGAACGCTTTAAGTGATTTTCCTTTTGAACAAATTAAGACCATCTCTTTCAAACTAGCAGATTTTAAAAACATATTTCATGTTTGAAGATGAGCTTTCGATGGAATCTATTAGTAAAACACTTCCTGTAGAATTACAAAGAATAATGAGAATAGATCTCTGACACCCTTAAACAAAAATATCACTGTTAAACATCTAAATATTTTCTTCCTCAAAATAGTTATAGTTATCATCATCTTGGTCGTCATATTCTTCATCTATCGAAAGAAACGGTAAATCTTTTATTTTTTCTAATCAATGCAAACTAACTCTTGGCATAGCTTTAAATGTATTTTTGGTTCTCTGTCCTGTTTTTCTCTCTTCTGTCGGGCAGTTAACAATGTCAATATGTGCTTTTGCTTCCTGTCTGAGCTTTCTCTTTGTTGCACGTTGAAGTAGGGATGGGCATTTCCAGAAGAACTGATATTAGAGTTTAAAAATCATTGTTTAAATGGTCGGAGATCTTTTTTCACCCTCAGCCAACTTCCAGACTTTGTTCACATGCGCAGCGTTAGATGGTCAAACGTTGACGTTAGCCAAAAGTTTGTCTCCTCCAGCTCCTCCACCTGAGAGATGATGTCCATCATTGTGTGATACCTTCCATCATCAGAGCAATAAAGCCATTATGTCCTTATCTGGGAATGCTGCATACAGAACCTTAAACAAACAATGTTTTGGGAGCAAGGTAAAAAGGGGCAGGTTTTTTTTTTGTTTTTGTTTTTTTGCAAATATGCTGTTTTCAGTTTTTTCCAGTTATTAAAAAGTCAATGCCCATCCCTGCTTTACAGAATTATGAAACCTTCTTATTTTGTCACTGGTTTTTAGAATAAGAACAGACTTCTCCTACAGAGCTGTAGGTTTAATCTAAAGGAGCTCTACTTCAGATGTTTCCAAAGATTATATATAGATGCATCTCTGTTAATTGGAAGATTATTTAAAAAACATATTTATTGTAGCAATCCCATTTATGCAGCATACTATGCAAATCCTTTTGCATACAGAGTGATATACTTAAAGCATTTCGATGTTGTAACCATTGAATTCCTAATTATTACAGACGCTAATTTTAGACAGTATCCACATGTGCCCAGTGCTGCAGGAAATTAACTCGGCTTCTCTTCATAGCTTGTCAGTAGAGGGATGCATGAAATGCTCTGAAACTTTGGACCACATAAGATGACTTTAGTGGAGAAACACAAACAGACAACATGACTCCTGATGTCAGGCCAGATGACTGCTTTATCCGTGCCCAGAAGAAGAGATTTGACCTTCGCTATCCCTTCTGCCATCTTATTGTACACTATATATATTTGCGGCATCCATTTTTAATTTTTGATCCCTTAGGTTTTTCCATTCCTGCCGCCTTCGCCTCTTTTTGCTTTTTTGTCCTGTTTAAATTTAAGATAAAACTGTAATGTAACCTTTCTTTGGGATTGGCATTTATTACTCCCTAAAGGCTACCTTTCCAAGCTGGTCAGGTTATACCCTTCACTTGAAAAGTTACACAAGGCATCTCTGAGAAAAGCTGCTGAGTTTGTTGTCGCCATCAGAGCAGAGGACACAGAAGCAGGTCTGCTAACCAAAGGGAGGCTGAACCTGCTGCTTAAGGCGTCTTCCTCGGCTAACAACTATATGATGGAGCTGCTGTCTGATCCAAAACACAGGGAAATATTCAGGCGCCATTTCTTTTTTCCTGCCTCTACCAGACATGGCGTTTTGTACTTTATTAAAGCCGCTTGATAGAGTCAAAAACATTATTAGCAACTAAGAACTGCAGGAACAAGTTGGCTTTTTTTTTTTTACAAAAAGCTTTTTTATGGGGTGAAAAACAGAAAAACCTTGTAAGCTCTCCTTCCACCCCGTTGTCTGCGACTGACAGCGAGCTTTTCCAAAACCATCAGTGAGTTTGGAAACTGGACGTCAAGCTGCTTGCTTAGTTTTTTGACCAAACCCCTGTTAGACGTAACTTTTGGCTTGAAGTGGCATGACACTGTGAATCATAGTTGGAACCCATGCATCTGTCATCTTCTTCTATTGGAAAGACAGCAGTTAAAATGTTTCCTTTCACTTAACTTTGCATTTTTGTGTTTCTGCTGGACTGTGGTTAACTAGGCTGCCTTCCCCTCACATAGACACTACAATTCTGTTTTAAAAATCCTTGTTTTTATTCTTCTGATGTAGCATTTTATTCTACTGAAAATGCTTAATTTATATCACTCTTTGATTAATGAATCTATAGAATAGTTTCACTTTTTGAGGATATTCCTATTTATGGAGATGCAGTTGAATATATAATGAGAGCAGGACAGGAGGAGCACTAAAGGTAGCTGTAGAGTTTTACTAAAATATTTAAGTTCCACATTAATTAAGCTACTAGTGACTAATTGCTGCTGACGCTGCATCATAATTTTTTTTTTAAAAAACTTCATCTGAATCAGAAAAGATTGTACTTAATATAACATTACCCTAAAGATAATTAAATCCAGGATTATTGTGGTCTAAACATCTCAGTTCCATCTCAATCATTTTTTGCAGGTTTGATAACTCTGTTAGCGGGAAATTTTTCAGGACAAAGTTGCAGTTTGATTCTTTCTTTCTTGGACGAATAAACCATGTTGCTTTTATTTCTTTTAAGCTGAATTAAAACATCTTTGATTTTTGTTGGGTGGCTAGTAAACGGAATGCTGCATGATTTTTCTCTTGCTTCTGGGGTTTCTGCTTTGAGGTGATCCCTGCATTGGATGGTGGCTGTAGCCCCTGTTTACCCTGTTTGGACCTCAGGTTACAGGGGTGTTTCTGGGGGTTTCAGCAGGCTAAACACTTGATTCTTGGTCTTCCTTGTCATAAATATATATAACAAGTAATACTGACCAGTCATTGGTGGGTTACAGCGCTCAGAGACGCCCTACTGACAAAGAGGCTGCAAAACATGGCGAGGATGTAGCGCTCTCGGTAAGGAGACTAATATAAATTTTGTTAAGAGAAAACAAAATGTCGGTGATGGCATTACTTTTTTTAATTTTACTTCATGGCCTTTAGCTATATAGATGCTCCACATGATTTTTGGCCAAAAAAAGAAAAGAAAAATAATAAGTCTGTTGCTTTTACCTTCCTTCCTCTGGTATATCGCCCTAAGTTTCCATGTAACCTGCTGGAACGCTTTCTTCACTGAAGCATTCAGTGCATCATATTTATAATATTTTTATAAAGGTGGTTGATCCATTACCTCTGTTCCTTTTTGTCTTCAGTAAGCACCGCAGTCCTGTTGGTCCAACACTTCTGATGGTGAAGGCGTCATCTTGAGAGGAGGATTGTCTCTGGACCGGTCTGTTGATGGACGTGCTTCCAAAGAGCCTCTGTGGAAATCTGCTTCTTCAGGGCTGCAGTCTGTGATTCAGACACTTTTCAATTTATTCTCGCTTCATCTGTTAAATCTCTCTCATTCTACAGCTTTTACTCATATCCACTGTTTCCAGTTTGAATTGTCTGGACATTATTGAACTCTGCATTTATTTGGGATGTTTGAATTTAAGCAGAGCTCAGCCTGGATGCCAGGCCTAAATAAAATAGAACATCTTAAAGTGTTTTAGGGAAAATCTGTTCGTTCAATACGTACTTAACTCACAAACATCATGTCTGCGCAGAAAGTTTTGGCCTAATTGAGAAATTGATATTCCACCTGTAGTGTAGCGAGGTTGTAGGGAGCTTTTCAAGAAGAAAGAAAAAAAGACCTATGGGATAAAGCCACTCAGTCTTAATGTTCATTATTTAAATACCAAACCATAGTTTTATCTAAAATGGTTATAAAGTTAGTGCCTAATAAAAACCATGCCATATGGTATGAGCCTGAATGTATAAAAGCTGAATACTTTACTTTATGTGTGTTTATTTTTGTAGTTTGTATAACCAGCAGCTTGGTGTTTGTGTTTTTTAATGTATTAACTTTGTGACCTTATTTTTATTGTTTCGGGATATTGGCCAACTATGTTGCAGATATTGTTACCATTTTTCCAATCAGTAAAGTTTTTTTCTCTCTCTCTTTCACTGCACCACCGTTAACATCCTGGTTAGCCACATACTGTCTAGAAGATGAATTGTTTTAATATTAAGACTTCAGCACTGATTTTGGTCACATTGAAAACTATTTATGAAGATGATCTCAAAGAAGTTTGAACTTCCTATTTATTAAAATGTTTCATTTTTTTTGTGAAGGCAGTTGTGAAACTAGTTTTTCTTCCTGGAATTAAAGGAAAAAGGAAAAGTAAGAAGTGTGGTGTTGTTTTTTGTGCACATGGATTGATGGGTGAATGGAAGAAGAGGGAGAAGATGTTTTCTTTTGTGTTGTTTCTTTTTTCCACATAGGAGCAGGTTTTAAATATGAATTAAGTCTAATCAGTGTTTTCCAATAAAACAGCTTTAAGTGTGACAAAAGCATTTTACTTTTAAATAATTTCTTGGCAGGTGGGGTCGCAGTACTGTGCCGATGTACAAGGTTTTAAATGTGGAGTTTGGCCTTATGTGTTTGTGTAGGTATGTATGTGTGCGTTTACATGTGTTTATGTAGGTGTGTGTGTGTGTGTGTATATATATATATATATATATATATATATACGGTATATATAAAATTGTGTACATGTGTATATACATTTTTTTGTGAATATTGGATCAAAAAAACGTTTAATAGGAAGGTTACTCCACTTTAAGTCAATTTAAGTGCAATTAGAAAAAATACCCCTTTTATACCGACAGGTTTATTTGATGGGGGGCTTTGTTTCTAATTATGTTCCGGCAAATTTAGTTAGGTTGGCGTTAACCAGTCTCTTTTCGTGTATTTGGTTGATTCGTATATCATTGTTTGTCAAAATTGTTTGAAATAAATTTCATTCCATTTCTTAAATCAGATATTATGAGTATCTCTGTACTTAAGTAGCCTTTTTAACAAACAATTATTATTATTTTTATCTCACTAGAATAATGTATTTAATTGCTGCTTTACTTGATTAAAAATGTATCAAGTAGTGTCATTCCCACCTCTCGAACTGGGTCATTACCAGGGATCTGGGATGATCTCCTTAGTTTATTTAGAAGCATATATTTGTTATTTGATCATTCTATCTAAAAGTTTAGTATTAATACAGCGATAAAAAATTGTTCTCTAAGTATAGCTAATTTAATCAACAAAAATTGTTATCCTGTTAAATTCATGGTAACTACAAGAACCTTTAAGTATTAATTGAGCAAAACAATAAACAGCTATACATTGGAAAAATAATAAAGCAAAGGAGATATTTAAAATAAATTCGAGTTTTCAATAAGAAAGTGGACCAAGTGTAAGGGTTAGGAAGTACTGATTTTAAAACTAATCTCACTTTTTTCAGGAGAAAGCAAAAGAAAACAGGCGGTTTTATCGAAGTAAGATTTGATTATACAGATTTAAATAAATTATCACACGTTCAAGGCCAAAAGTGCCAATATTCATTCACATCTGCGTTAACTCGGCTGTAGTTGCTTTAAATTTTGTACTACTTCCCCTACGGTAGGTGGCGCTGTGCACTGATAGGGTTTAAAGGTCCAGGAGGACTTCCGGTTTGAGACAAAAACCACTGAGCAAAACAGGTCAGATGAGGTGAGAGATAGGTAAGCAGCTGTCGCTTCATTTAACGGAACCTCAGGATACATTTGCTAATTAAAAAAATATATAAAAATATATAACGTTTAAGCATTTATGTTAACAGACCTTAGATGTGTTTTTTCCCCGGAAAAGAATATGTGAAGAACTTTTTCATTAAATTAAATTAGATTTTTTTTTAAATGGTGAGAATTACCCCACCGTCTGGCTCTCGGTAGCAGATGCAGATGCTGATGTTGAAAAGGAAAAAAAATGACTGACTTATTCCTGTTAGAAATATTTGTAAAACTATATTTTACAGACCCTTGTCTGGTCTGCTGTGCTACGCAGAAGGAAAAGAAAGGGCTGGTCCGGAAAAATAAACCGGATGAACAGTTCCTAATGTGTAATAGCTGCAATGTCTTTTTTATTTTTAACTACCCCAATCCTGTTTAGTTAAAGAGTGTTTGCTTATAATCGTTGTTCTGCATAAATCATTACTTTGGTCAGTTTTTTTTTGATGAAAGTGAGTCAAACCTTCACTGAATTAACTGACATCAAACAGAAGTAAAATCACCATTGCATTATAATAACTTATAATAATAATACTGACCCAGTTTTCAGACTTTGATTGGTTTAATTCTTTAAACTCCACATTAGATCTAGATGATATTTGGTAAGAAGCATATAGGGGCCCCATCCGGCCAACCTGAAGTAAAATCAGGGATTTTTTGAGCAATGTTGACAGCAACTTAGATAAAAGTGACCAGTTTGACAGACTGTGAGAGGCTTTAATTTTGGAATTTCACATCAGACCTTGAGGACTTCTGGTGAAAACTATCTACTGTCACCCTGAAGTGAAATCAGTAATTGAAAACAGGGAGATTAGCAGGATTCATGGAAACAGATGAAAAAAAAAGTCTAAATTACCTATTTTGAGAGGCTTTAATTTTGGAATTCCACATCAGACCTTGATGACTTCTGGTGAAATTTATCTAGGAGTGTCCTAATATCAGTTTGAAGTGAAATCAGTAACGGAAAACAGGGAGGTTTGCAGTATTCTTGGGAAAAGGTGCAAAAAAATGTCAAATGTACTGATTTTGAGAGGCTTTAATTTTAGAATTCCTTGATGACTTGTGCTGAAAACTATCTTTGGGTGTCCTGTCACTCTGAAGTGGAATCAGTAACTGGAGACAAAGTTTTGGTTTTTTAACAGATATTCAAACTTAGGTAAAATAAATTGGCATTCTGAAATAAAGTGCACAAATAATTTAATGTTAAACAGCCACTTAATAAAAACACATTCACAGGAGCACATAAGAAATATTTTTTTTTACACCAGAGGGGTATAAATTATAACAAAGTTAATAAATGTTAAACTTGTCAGTGTTATTCTTAAAAGTCCAAGCCACCGTATTTCATGGCGTATGCGTGACCGATTTAAAAAAAAAACAGGCAGAGCTGCTTGGCGATCGTTTCTGAAGTGGAGGCTGGCTTGACCTGAGTAAATACAGTCCAGGCACATGACAATTAACTGCTGATATTTCCAATAAAGAATGCTTGTAGATTTTGTTACAGACGTTTAACCACACTATCATCTATCTGCTATTAGGTTCTACCAAAATAAATAAACAGCCATTGGGGCTAAGTCCCTTTGAGTTAATAGTTTACAGTGAGCGTAAACCTTTTCCTGCTTGCTCATAGTTACACACAGCCATCTTATTTAATCATTAATTTCTCTCCCTGTATCTATATTTTTTTCTTCCAGAATTATATAATTCTCTTTAGGTTTCTACACTGGATCCTAAAAATGAGTATCTCTGCCCTCTGTCTACTTAGCAGCTTTGGCTTTGGCATCCTTGCCCAAGGTGCGTTCATGCTCATACAAGAAATATAAGAATTAGGAAAGTTTAGTCTTGAACTTAAGTTTTAATCATCCATTGTTTTATTTATTTTTGTAATAGCACAGCAGTGTCCCAAGCCTCCTGGGGGGCAGAATATGAATCTGGAGAATGAGTACATTTCAAAGGATACATTTGAGGATGGTTCTACTGTGTCTTTTGCTTGTAATGTCGGCTACACATCTGCAAAAGGATCACGAATCATCAAGTGTAACAAAGGCACATGGAGCCCTGTTACGCTGACTTGCAAGAGTAAATATACTCACATAACTCTTTAAGAGCTTTCATAATGTAATGTCAGTTGTGGTATTTTCTCATATGTTCAACATAGTTAATTCCCTATGGAGCCGCTGTGTTGTATTTGAACTTTCACCCTGCACTGCGATTTTAACATTTACCTTTCTGTAGTTTGGTTTTCATTAATTGACTGCAACCACATTCACAACTTTTAAATGAGGCATTTTATTTAAGATTTGGTCTTTTGGCAATGTTAGTTTTGGGTTCTAAACTCAGTGAAAGACTGGGACAGAAAAAACAACAACAACAACAAAGCAAATAAATATAATCATAAAAGAAAACAATGCTCAAGACTATTTAAGCATTGCATTTTTCTTAGCATCTGTGGATAACACTCTTGACTACAATTTAAGCATGTTTAGAGTTTATAAAATTTATACAATTTCAATCTAGAAAAATTGTATAAAAGTAAAAAAAAAAAAAACAAGCAAGAAATTTGATTCTACAAAATTATAGAATTTTGTGATGAAAAATATGCAGAAACAAACTCTGAACAGAGATTAAAAAAAAAAAAGTTTGGGAGAGAAAAAAGGCAACTTGACTTGAATTGAAATTATTTAACCTGCATGGGAAAAGTTACAGGTTAAGCTACTTACATTGAGGTTTGACTAATAGTTTAGCTGGTATACGCTTGTAATGTCTGTGTCTTTCTATTTTAGGGAAGAACTGTGGACCTGTTGAAGATAAACCTAATATGATAGTTGAATATCCTGATGAGACACTGTTTGGGGATAAAGCATTGATCAGCTGTAAAACAGGGTAAATAGAACAATTATAACTCAAACAATAAAATAATAAATCATTATTGTGGTTGGTGTTGAAGCTAACATTAATCTGTTTTTTCCCCTTAGATACAATCTAGTTGGTAACCGTGAAGTCAAATGTGAAGCGTCAGGCTGGACAGGAAGGTTGCCTGAATGTGAAGGTTGGTCTCATTTGTGTACAAATTTAAAAAAAAGGTTAAGCTGTGGTTTTTAGTCTAATGGAGTATTTCTTTCTAGTAATTAGGTGTCTCCAGACAGTGGATATTGCAAATGGTAAAGTCGAAAGTCCACAGAAAGAAGAGTATGAATATAGAGAAGTTGTGCAATACTCCTGTGACAATGACTATGCCCTCATCGGATCGAGTTCTTTAACCTGTGGAGAAAATGGGGAGTTTGAACCCCCACCATCATCTTCTCCTCCGTCATGCGTCTGTAAGTAATCTTTGAAATCTAAACCTTTACCATTTTTAACGCTGAACAACAATTGAAGTGATACAGTTGAAATGCTGTTCAATCAGAAGTTACTTTAAAATGTTCCTTGTGTGATAGTTATGAAGCTACAGCTAGCATAGACAAAACATTAAGCTGCATTTAACTCAGTGATTTGCAAATGTCATTGCTTCTGTAGTAATGAAGCCCACCCTTTCTGGAGAAGCACCTTGGTTGTCTGCAGCCTGTAACTTTTACTAACCTGTTTTCAA